ATCAGTAACCTTTTTTTCTGTCTCTTCCCTGAAATTACAAGTCCCTTTAAAGCATGGATGATATCTTCTAGTGCAGAGGAGAGACTCTATGTGTGGGTATTGTGGTAGGCAGTGAGACAGACTCGAGCAGAGCAAGGACCATGGGTCAGGTACAGAAGGTCACCAGGGTGGAAAGCCCTGGGTGCCTAGCAAAGGACAATTGTAGGGTGGGAACTCACTCTCAGGGTGACCTTTCCTCCCCTAGCATATCGGTGGTCATGCCATTTGGACCCCCTGACCTTTCCTCCCTAGAGATAACATCTAGGCCCAGAAAAGCAGTAAAGCCAGACAAGTGACACCAAGGCTGACCTCAGGACCAGCTGCACTGAATAATGACCCCTGCCTTGGCGCCAAGCAATCAATCAGTGGAGACCCCAACCCTAAAAGAACACACCTAGAAAGCTGCTGAATATTCTATTGAGACTTTCCCCTGGGACAGCCCCTAAAATCTCCATCCTTAAAGCCCTTAGGACTGAGAAGCCAGCTTGTCTCTCTCCCAGGAGTAGGCCTGCACCTTTCCTTTGACCTTCCCCATGCCCCCAGGTACATTACCATTAGCTTCCTCAATCCCAAACTCCAAGGGCCCTTCTTTTACCTCTTTAACTTGTTTCCTAAGCCCATGTCTTCTACAAATTACTTCTTCTACCTCTGTGATTTTCCAAATAAACGTTCCCTTATATATTGAGTCTTGGCTCTGAAATCTTTCCTAGCCAGAACTCAAGTACTGAGGTTGCAGAACCCGGGTCCAGTCTGATCCCACCCGGTCTAACACCTGGTGCCCTTCCCACCACCTACAATAGGTATAATGATGGTGAGCTTGTTCTCAATGTACAACTCACAGAGGTACGCTCCTTGGTACCCAGCTTTTTGCATCCTGAGGGTCATTACCACAAATAATTCAGGCCAGGGAAAAAAGTATTTTCTCCTCAATTACTCAAGTTTCAAAGAGAAGGAATTACAATCATGAAGAATATGAAGTTAAGAATTGCATGTCTTTTCATAGTTCTAATGTGCTACTCTGAGCTACTCACCAAATCTAGGTTTGTCAGAGACAAGTGGTGGCCCTTAAATTCCAGAGGCTTAGATACAATCTTGACAAAGTTCCAGCTCTCTCTCCTGCCCACCCCCCTGGAAATGTCTTTGTCTTTCATCTTGAAGGAACCTGTCCTTTTGTAGATTCTTTGGAACTGCTTCGGAAAGTAATTTTATTTGTGGGTGATTGCTTCTCTACTAACCAATATTTGTAGAGCACATACCATATGCCAAGCACCATCCCAACTGTTCTACACAACAGTCATATAAGGTAGATACTTTATTGTCTCCAATTTAAAGATGAGGAAACAGGCTTACCAGGTTAGAAAAACGGATTCAGTTGCCACATCTTCTCTTAGAGAATGGGCTTCAGATTGGGTAGGTCATTTAATCTTGAGGACAATGCCCATCTCAGTGCATTGTTTTTAGGATCAACTAAGATCAAGTAAGTGAAAGTGTCCGATTTAAGCCAGGCACACAAGGGCACTTAGTGAACTTAAGGGACAAGCACATGAAGAATAGAATTTGTATGCTGCTGGGCAATTGTACTTGTTCTACTGTGCCTTATTCAATTATAAAGTTTCAGAGGTCACATCACAGAACTAGTCAAAGATGACTCCTACCGTGACTTCTCTGGACAAAACTGAGGAAAGAAAATAACTCATTTTTTTTCAGATATGATATGGCCTGCCTGTGTCATAATCATCTGGGGAACTAGTTAAAAGAAGGCTCCTGGGCCCACCCCCATTGCCACACCACTGACTGAGGGGTAGGAAATTGGCTTTTTAGATAAGCTCAAATAATGTATACATACTCCTGAATTTAAGAGCAACTGTATATATTTTGCATATATATGTAAAAAACATCTCTTATCAAATATAGATACGTATACACATATGTATAAATTATATTTTATCAAAAAGGATGCAAAGATACCCATTTATGAGTGTTTTTCACCAAAGCTCCACCAGAACCAGGACCATTGGACACAATTTATTTTTCATGATTTAAGTGGCATAAGCAGTGCCACACCTGAGCAGAAACATATAGTAGTTCCCTTTAAAAATAAGTCTAAGCAAATCATACATCAAGGAATTATCCAAAAGCACAATATTAAAATTTAAAGAGAGAGGGCTTAGTTTCCCAACTGAAAAGCACTTTGGGGGCTTTTAAAAATTCACATATCTGGGTCCCAGGGTAGATTGACTGACTTAGAATGCTTGAGGATCAAATCCAAGCAATTATATGCTGAACTTTTTCTATAGGTGATTCTAACTACCCCCCTGGTTAAGAACCACTGACAACCATTTGAGTCAACAACATGAGATACTTTTCCCATTTCCAAGGTATCAACCTGTTCGTTTCTCTGTAGAACAAAGTTTTCAACAAAATAAAGGGTTAATGTGGTACACACACTTGTAGACACCTCTTGCTAATACTATATTACCATAGTTTTCAGGATTTTTCCTTTAATTTATGCTATGAAGAGTCAAGGGAAGCCAATATTGCATATGTTCAGTGGACCTCAACCAAGTGCACGCACGCGCGCGCGCACACACACACACACACACACACCCATAAATGGTAGCTCTNCGCATATGTTCAGTGGACCTCAACCAAGTGCGTGCGCGCGCGCGCACACACACACACACACACACACCCATAAATGGTAGCTCTCCAGCTATTATTTTTTCCCACCATTTCCTCTGAACCCTTTGGTCTCCTTACTCTATGCTCATCTTCAAAAGCTTTGATTAGCTGGTCCAAATTCTTCTTCATCTAGTTGATGACATGAAAGTTAAGTGACCTTAGCACAAGGTCCCTCAGCTAAATAGTGGTAGAGCCAGGACTTGAATTAGTCTCTGACTTAAGATCAACACCCCCTCCCATCCCCACCCCAGTACTTGTCGTCTCCTCTGAACTTCAGTGGGTTCCTCTCTATCTCCAGTCTCAAGCAGGGGTGGCTTCATGGGCTTGTGACCTATGCAATTGCACAGGGCTCAGCTCTTAGCAGGGCCAAACACTTGATTTGCTGTTCTGTTGTTGCTGTCTTGAATTCTTAATTTTTTTTTTAACAAGGGCCCTGTATTTTCATTTTGCACTGGGGCTTGCAAATTATGCAGCCGATCTTGCCTACAAGTAAAGGGAGCTTTTCCTGGCCCTTGAGACAGAGTGAACTTAGAGGAAGTACAGAGTTGCAGTTCAGTTTTCAGTCTCAGCGTCAGCTCTGACCACCAAAGTAAATTACATTCCTGTTTGACTTACTATTTGCTAATTGAATGGTGACTAACTGGAGAACATTAAAAAGTTATCTCCCCTTCCTATTAGGTCATGTTCTCAAAATCAGTACTTGATAGTAACATATAAATTATCATCCACTTGTACTTTGCAGATTTACAAACAATTCACATTTTCAAAAACACTTTCAGATGAGATCATGGTAAAAACCCTTTCAAACAAATCTTGGGCAAACTTTTACTGTTTCTCTTGAGCTCATAATGATAACATAATTTTCATTTGTTTGGTTATGTTTAGTCATCTTATCTGACATGGATTGAGCACTGTTTTTCAAGTTTTGTTTTTGTTTTTAAGTTGGATGTATTTATTTTTACTTTATTTTTAATTATAGATGACATGCAATATTATATTAGTACCGGATGTACCACATTGTGATACAACATTTATATACCTTACAAAGTGATCATCACAATAAGTCTAGTAACCATCTGCCACTGTACATAGTTATTAGGATCAAGTCTTGGTTTTAATTTAACATCAGTGGGAAGCAACTGTTTTTGTTTTGTTTTGTTTTGTTTTGTTTTAAGAAGTCCCCTTTAGGATACAGGAAAGACAACATTTTAAAAAAGAAATGGCTAATGCATTTTGTTTTCATGAAATTATTGTAGAGCTGAAAAATACCTTACAAATCTCCACATTTAATGTCCTTATTTTCCCCATAAGAATAGAGATTGTGATTTGCTCAACAAATCATGTCAAGTTGAGAGCACACAGGAAGAGACCCCAGGGCTGATGACCCAATCTAGGTCACCATTTTAACACACCTGTAAGCTGTGCCAACAAAGTTAGACTGATAATCACTAAATATTACCTCAGAGTTCAAACTATTACCCCAGAAATTGAAGTGTCATATGACTTTAAGTCTTAAAATGAAAATAAAAACTCTCCTGCTGTTCTCTGTAAAGATGATAGGAATCACTATTATATCAGATATAAACATTTATCAAGAATATTACTTTTGGAGACATTATATGAAGGTCACACAAAAATACATCACATATATCTTATAAAAAACACTATGTTAAAATCCTTACTAGCATCATCATTGTGAAGTGGGACTACCCTTTGCCATGTAAAATTCTTCTTATAAAGGTAAATGGCATCCAGTCATTCTATGTACAAGACTCTGAATGTAGGACATGTGATTTGATCACAGTGTATCTGAATTAGAGAGGTGTAATTATGAATCATATAAGAATTTCTTATAGGACTGCTGCATATCATTTGGTCCTTTGGTCACCAGCATTCGGTGGACATACTGAATCACTGCCCTCATTTCCCTGTATCATTCTTACTCATGGAACTGTGTTTCTCACAAGACTGTGAGCCTTTTAAGGACAGGAATGATGTGTTTGCTGTTCATCTTTTCATATTCGGAATATAGCACACTGCCTAGCACATAGCAGCAAATAAATGAATAAAGAAATGAATGAATGAATATCTTATGGAATTCCTGTATTTTCACACAAATTTATTTACAGTGAAAGAGTTCTATAATCTCAATGAAGGCAAGAAAATATGTGTTATACTTTAAAAACTAATAACCTACTATGCCTTGTACAGCGTTAATGACGCAGCAAAAGAAATTAAGTGACTAATGAGTGAGGAGAGGCATCCATTTATCCACTTACTTGCAAGCAAGCCCACTCCACTTGCGAGGGACCCGACCCAGGCCGTTTTTCCTTTCCCTTCACCAAAGACATCCAGCCATTCTATGTATAAGACCCCAACCGCCACTGGGGACCCGTAGCACAGAAACTGAGTGAAGAAGGAGACCAGCACGATCACCCAGCCCCATCCGCCATCAGGTGACTTCTTCATTTCCATTGTCAGGCGAGATCAAGATGTTTCTCTGCAGTTTCTTAAACAAAAACAAACAGAAAAGAAAGGCATATTTAGAGTGTGGTGGGGCACGGTATTTTGGATTAAAAATATCTTCTAAATTAAACCATAAAAGATATTTTCGAAAAATACACGTGAAAAAGCATAAAATATCACTAACATATCCAGTTAACTTTATTTTTTTTTAATTTATGATTTAAATAAGTGATGCATCCACATGGCTCAAAAAAATTTTTTTAATCATAAAAAAGGCAGAGGGTGAAAAGTCTCCTTCCCAATTTTATTCCCTTTCACCACATCCCCAGCCTCACCCAGCCACCGAAATCACTGATTTTGGTTTCTTGTTACACTTTGGGTTCCCCAGGAAGCAGACTCTTAGCAAGAAGGAGGTTTACTGGGAGCGTTCGCTTCCTAAGCAAGGAGCAGAGAGCAGGGGAAGGTAAGCTGCCAGGCTGCATGAAGGAAGGGAGCTTCCCAGGCTGCGGTGAGCCCTCAGAGTTGCCCACCTGGGAGCTGGCCCGTGTGGATGACCCCGGGATGGGGGCCGCCCAGGAAGGGGCATGCATGACCTTCGGTGAGGGGCTCTCCTCCACCGAGGCAGTCAGCCCCCAGGGCGGTTGCCAGCGGAGGGCCATCTGCCATCAGCCCTTTCAAGGGCTGGGGCGAGGAATCTTTCATTTTTGAAGGGAGTCTAGAGGGCAACTGGCAGCACATCACAATGTCCACCAATCTGAGTACCTTCCAGAGCTCCTTTAGCCAATACAAGCAAAACCAAGCAAATCGCCTTAGAGTTCCCTCTTTTTGGACAAAAAGTACAAAATTGTACATTTTATTCCATACCTTGTTTTAGTCACTTAACAACCTTAGAGATATTTTCCTATCAATACTAGAGGGCATTCATATATATATACATACACACACACACACACACATATACACATGCATACATATGGATATATACACACACACACATAGTTTATATATACACACACACGGTATATCACCATATCACTATATACTTATTTACTTATTGAAAGGCAAAAAAAAATTACAAGATTAAAAAATATAATAATAACAAAGGTATACGGTCTTAATCCACTTATTTCCTGCCTAACTCCCGCATCTTTCATGGATAACCAATGCTTCTTGCCTTTTTTATATCCTTCTAGAGTTTATGCATAACTAAGTAACTCAAAATATAGATTTCCTTTATTATTTTACACAAAATAGCATGTTTACATACACTTGTATGTCTTGCTTTTTTTTTACTTAACAAATTATTTTAATCAGAAAAAAATTTTTAGTTTCTCACTTGACAAATATCTTGAAGACCCTTCACATCAATGCGTGGAGACCTTCCTTGCTTTTTTCTTTCTGCTGCACTGTGTTCCAGGATAGGGTTTTCTCTGAACTCTTTAACCAGTCCCCTATGGCTAACAATGAAAAACAGAGCTCCAGTAAATAACCTTATATATGTGTAATCTTTTGCCCATATGCATAGCTGTTAGGTAAAACCCCAAAAGAGGAATTGCTGAGTCAAAGGGCATGTACATTTTAAATTCTAATTAGTATTACCAAATTTGCTTCAAGCAATTGAATCACTTTATATTATCCTCAGCAATTTTGAGTGTGTTGTAAAAATTTTGGATTTTTGTCAGTTTGTTGGCTTTAAAAGAGTACTTCATTATAGTTTTAAGGTGCATTTCTTAGCATTCTCTGAGTGTTGTGTGTTGCTTCATAAATGAAATGCCATTTGTAATTCCTATCTAATTCTTGGGTATATAGGGGTGTATTTCTGGATTTTCTGTTTTGTTCCACTGGTCTATCTATTCACTCACCACTACCACATTAATTTAATTACCAAGTCCTTTAAAAAATATTTTTTAAGTTATAGTGGGGCTAAGTTCCTTCTCTCTATATACATATTGCATAGCTTTTCAGTATTTCCTTGGCTCTTCTTGTTTATTTACTTTTTTACATAAATTTCAGAATCAGTTTGTCTGGCTCTAAAAACATCTGATGGTGCTTTTATGAGAACTGAACTACATTTACAAGTTGATTTAAGGAAAATTAATACTTTTATGATGTTGAGTCTAAGAACATGGTGTCCCTATCTGTTTGCTCAAGTCTACTTTTGTGTTTAAAGTTTTCCCCAACATTTATTTTTATTTTATCTTTAGATATTTTATCTTTTTTGCTAACCTTATAATTGGGGTTATTTCTTTGATTTTTCTGTTGATGTCTATATGTTAATTTTGGATCCCACTGCCTTACTAAATTCTCTTGCTTGCAGTAGATCTTTGGATGATTCTTTTAGGTATATACAATACACAATAAAATATAGTTATATAATAATCTACAAACTGATGGTCTTATCTCATTTTGAACTTTTACACTCCCAACTTCCTTCTTTGTCTTTGAACAGGGCACTCAGAATAATGTTAAATAATAAGACTGTACATCTTTGTCTAGTTTCTAACTTTAGTTGGATTGCTCTCAAATGTCATGGCGCTGCCTCTGAGGCTTAGATGGGTCTCTTTCACAAAGTTAAGAGAATATTCATATTTTTCTATTTTTGACTGTTATAAAGAATGCTTACTACATTTTATCAACTGAATATCCAGTACACAGAGAGATGATAATGATTTTCTTGTTATAACTTTTAATGTAATAGAATCTGTATTTCCTACTATTAAACTATCCTTGAATTATTGGATTAAATCTTCCTTGGTTAATGTACTATTTTGATTATGTCAATCTACTTGGGGGAATTTTTAAATTCATAAGTGAGACTTGTCTTTTTTAATTTTTAGGTTTGAGTATCAAAATGATATTTTTTAAAAATTTGAAAATGTTCCTTCTTTTTCTAAGTTCTGAAACAGTGTATGTGGCAATGTATGTGGAAGCCCAAGGCCTGGCAGCCCTGCTCCCAACAGTGCCTCCCACTTAACCTACATCTCCTCTATCTCTTACCCATGCCAGGGTTATAGTCAAGTTCAGCAGAGTCATCTTTGCTCAAAGATTTTGTAAAGTCATTGCCTTGGTTCCATCAGATAATAGGAAAGGCATTAGGAATATAATTCTTCCACTCATGCACATCCCTAATTAGATGGTGAGATATATGGCCACCTTAGAAGAGTCATAGTTACACCCATCAATTTACTTAAGCTTCAGTAAACACCTTCACTTTGACATTCAGAGCTCTGGGCCAAAATCATGTCCCCACCTGCCATAGGACTTTGTATAAGTAAGTTGAATATTTAGTAACTGAATATTCAATGTTTTAATATTTAACATTCCAATATCTAATAACCGAACACTGAAAGATGGCACAATCTGTGCTCAGAACTGTGTCTAAAATCTAGTCTCTCAGATCACACAATTGTGTGAGCAGACAGAATACTCCAAACTTCCAAATATTAAAATCCTTTGAGGTAGTTTACTCCCTCCAGTACTTACTCTGTTACAAAGTAAACAATATAATTCTGGTCCCTCTCATTAATTTAGTATACTTTGCAATTTTTGTTCAGAATCCCTTTTAAAGGAAATAGAGTCTTAGTTCCCTAAACTAGATAATGCATGAAAGCAACAGCCAAACATCTAATGAGACTAAAAGGTTGTGCAAAAAAAAAAAAAAGCATGAGATTCTCCTTCATTCAAATCTTCACATTACAGCACATTAGGAAAAGTACACATTTACATAGGCAAAAATACAGAATCATGAAAAAGCCAGTACTCTCTGGAGGGAGGAGAGTGAAAGGGTGAGGAGAAGTATCTTCCTTTCCAGTTTTCAGACCTAAGTAGACAGAAATGCCTTTTTATACCAAATACCTTTTCCTTGTCTTGCCTTGCCTTGACTCGGGTAACATTTCAACACATAGGACAGGAGCCAGAAAGATTCTTCTCACATTGAATAGTCTGGAGAACAAACCTTTGGAATACAAAGCTCCCATGTGTATCAACTCTGACTAGAATGACAAGTTTCTATAAAGTGTTGGGTAACAGCTTCTGACATCGAATTGTTTCATAGTTTGAGATACATGTAGTGTCAATAGAACATGATGGAAAATACCATTTTGTGATTTATTGTTTTCTATCAGGGTAATACCTTTCACCTGTAGTTTTCTCTATCCCTTAGATATCTCTCACTTGCTATTTCTCTGATATTCTGTATTCTGTAAGGTGATTTCACAAATAGGCTAGTTTTCATTTCCTCCCTTTTGTAATGGCGCCAGTTTCCTTTGGGGGATTTGGGTCATCCTTATAGGTTGATGGGACTATGAATCAAAGTTCTTTGATCCTGACCTGTAGAGTGGTACCTGACCCAAGCAAGGCCAGTAGGATCTCTCTCCTAGGACCTGGAGTATTTAGTAAAATGCTATAAGTAATGAAAGAAAAATATTTCAAGTTTATGATCCCAATAGTATTTCATTGAAGAGATCTTCTTTATTTCCTTCTATCTTGACTAGGGATACCCAAGCCTAGTTTCTCCAGTCTTCTACTTCATTCTATGTGCTAACTCAGTAAAATATTTTGCTAATTTAGCTGGTATTCATCTCTTTTATGTGCAAGAGACTAAACAAATTGTGAGTATGCAGTAATTTCAAGTTGATAATTTTACCTACTCATATCCCACTTGGTCCCAAAACATTAACTTGGGCCAAAAGTTAAGCTTTTGAATAGAGTCTGTGACCACAAAATATGGAAAATATAGAAATGTCATCTTTTTTATTTTTCCTGAAAATTTCATTTTATTAGCTCTCCTTCTTTATATCTTATGATCAAATATGATAAATCTCTTTTCTGGCATTCTTTTAAATAAAAACTCAAAGTTAACAATTTCTATAATATTTACAGAAATGCAGCATTATAAAAGTAAAGTTTATTCAAAAAGCTTTTTGATCACTTATGATTTAAATTATATTACAATAGATATCAAGGGAAATCAGAAGAAATATGAGAAGTGGATGGCCCTTGGCCTCTAGGAGGTTATAACCCAGTCAGAAAGGTAAGATATGTGCATAAGAGAATATCTGAGGGAGTGCCAAAGATGTGGATTAGTATTAAATGTTTAGGAATCAGAGGGAAATGAAAGCAACCAAGAAAGGAGCAGGAGTGGAGGCCTCATGAAGTAGGTTAGCTCTAAAGAACACTGAAGAGACTCATGAAAGGGTGGCTCCGGCAAGGGGAACACCACGAACCTGGGTGTGGAATCAGATAGGCCTGACAGGCTAGGTGGAAAGTAAAGAGGGCAGGTCCCACGGGGCTCCTGGAGGACAACAGGAGTAAGAAGGTATCGCTCTCAGATGAAACTTAAGAGGAAGAAAGTGTCTCCAGAAGCCTGTGGCTATAAGCCCCAAATAGAATTCGTAGTTCCGTAATAAATCCTAGCGTTAATAATCCATTCACATTACCTGAGTGGTAGGTTTTTTCCTAAAAAGATAACAAGATATGTAAGTACCATAAAGTTTTTTTAATTTTTTTATTTAGACTAGTGTTCACCCAGCCGGGCGTGGCTCAGCAGTTGAGCGTCGACCTAGGATCCAGGAGATCGGGGTTCGATTCCCGGTCAATAAAGATATTTTTTTAAAAAAAACAGTATTTAGACTAGTGTTCCATGACTATATTCAAAATTTTGGGCTCTTACTCATATAACTGTACGAAAATACACTTCTAGGAAACACAGACATTGTAGTATATTCTAGTACACTCTTTGAGAATTTGGAATCTTTTAACCAGGCTGTTAACAAATTTGGACTCTGCATGACAAGACAGCTTATAAAACTCAAAATTAGAAACTATTTTGAGAGACCATTGTAATCTAGGGGCAAATTTGTCACATTACAGGGCCTAATGAGATATCACAAAATGTTAATTTATAATTTAAGTGTATTTCTTATCTTTAATTGAAATATTAAATATATTCCACATATTATAAACCTCCTTTGGAGAAGAGAGCATAAAATAGAAATAACTATAATAAGATAGTATTATTCAACATAATTTGGTTATCATTAGTATAAAAGATAGCATATCTCTGAAAGCTGGAATTTGCTGTTAAAGGAAAAGCAGAATTAGGCATTTTCCAAGACATTTTCTTCAGAAAATAAAAGGACTGTTGATGAAAAGCTTTTTACTCATGGTATAAAGCTTTTAAGCCCCAAAGGCTTAGGCTGCATTTAGTTCTGTTCAAATAATGCCAATCCTTTGTTATTTCCTCAACTCTACACTGGCTGAAAATTTCTAATCTCCCGGATATGGGATGTCAGAATTGTGTATTTGACATTTGTGGACATTGAATGTTGACACAGAAGCTTTCTGTCCTGGAAATGTGTACATATGTACTATACTACTGTGGCAAATTCAGATGATTTACAATTGTCTGATTTTATTTTCAGTTGACAGTTGTCTTGCCTTTGTTCCACCAACAACA